AAGTGAAGAAAAAAAGACGATTAATTGCTGATATGTTTATGCCCTTGTAGAGGGAACAACAATTTTGGATTGAGGTTTCTATTTTGGCTGTCTTTCAGTTTCGGTTCGCTAGCTGCTTAAAGCTGAATATCTTCTAAGGAAATGTGGAATAGAAATCATACAGTCAGATCCAATCAACGGAATGTTGAATATAACACTTGCATGTTAGTTGCCAAGACGTCCACCCACTTCGAATCCCGCTCCCACTCCCTAACCGTTTCGCCGTGTCGCTTGCCTTAATCAATTAGTTTAGCTTTCACCTATTAATTTAGATCTCAATAAAAATGATTTAACTTAATTTGGCACTAATTTGGCAGTATTCACCAATACATACACATACACATACGCATACAAATGTACATGTGTAGTTGGGAAAGACAATGGTGCGATATAAATACGATATAAGAAATACCAGACACCAATTCCAAAAGATCGCTTCATTATAATTTTTTAAGCATATATTTTATACTTGAGTTTAACTGAGAAATTAAGCACGACTTTTCAAGGCTGTTGATAGTGTTTTTTTCTGCTTCTTCTTCTTCTTCTTCTCCTCCTTTTTTTTGGTTTTCTGTTTGTTGTTTTTGTCGCATTTGTTTTTGTTTCATTGGCTTCGTTTTAGTTAATTTGTTAGCTTTATTATTTTATTTTCATTCATCTCTTGCATGTTACATGTGCTTCAAACTTTCCGCACAAGCCGAATATGTTTAAACAATAAATCAGTTGTTTCTGTTGTCGACTGAGCTTGGTTTGAGTCAAACAATTTTTGGAATTTATTTAATTAGCTGCCGCGCTGACGGCACAACCACGCGGCAAATTGAATAAATGTGTGTGTAAGCGTGTAAGAAGAAAAAATACTATACATTGATTAATATTAATTGCTCACCTTTTTATTTATAAATAAATATGAATTCAGTAATTGCGCTCATCAAAACGAAACGAGTAAAACTGAGTTGGCTTTAGAATAGATCTGTTTTACTTTTCTGAACTGATTTTTTGACACAATTTCGAATTCGCACTGCATTCGAGCGATTTTGATTTCGGCTCGAAATTCTTATTATGCTTTTGTTGTTTTCTCTTTTATTTCAATTTGTTTTTGTTTTGATTTTGATATGACTTTTATTTATTTGATTTTTTTGTGTCGGCGAACAATTCACTCGCAAATGCGTCTAATTAAAAAACTTAACACGTTCGAGCGTAGAAAGGCAACGCGAGTCCAAGTCCAAGATTTCAATTTCGTTTCTTATTTCGATTTCGTTTTCGCTTTCCGTATCACGCGGCTAGCCCAATCGCGGCTGCAGCTCGTAGCCAACTGAGCGCGGGGCCCAAACCTCGCTTCAGCTGGGGGCCAAGCAGAGTCGAGTCTATGACGCCGGCAGCAGCAGAAGCAGCGCCAGCAGCTGCCGCCGGAGACGTCATGCCGGTTACTAGACAGCTAACACATGCATAAAGACAAAGAGAGGGGGGCGGCGGGGTTGTTCGGCAGCAGGTCTCTTCTTGCTGATCGTTCAACCTCTGAACTTTTGTCGCAGGGCCAACATGATTCATGCTGCAGCCTGACTGGCCAAAAGCATTTAATATGGCATATTCCAGCTTTAAGTAAAGACCGGAAGTTCATTAGCTGATCCGACAGCTATTCAAACAATATGCGTCTGTATTTTATTTACTGTCAATTTTTATTATTTGTTTTACATTGTCGCGAATATGCGAAACTGTAATAAAGTGATTTTATTTAAATTGTAAATTATTTCGTTTTTTCTTTTTTATTTTTATTCATTTTTTGCGCTGCTGCCATTTGTTGTTGCTTTTGTTGCTTTGTTGCTTTTGTTGCTGGCCATAGACACAATTCATTGTTAGCTGAGATGCTTTTGATTTTTATGGCCAATGAAGGTTATTTTGGCTTTTATCTGCTTTATACGTATTTTTTGTGCTGCTGTTCGCTATTTGTCTCTTTTCTGGCTTTTGGCCAAAGAGATCTTTAAATGCACACACACATCGCTTGTCAACTCGAGCTAAGCCTTCTTTATAACTACGCAAGAGGCGTGTTTTTTTCCCCTTTTTTTATGGCGCTCAAAGACCACGCACAATTGTGGGTGGCAGCTGCGGAGCAATAGCCTTTGCTTATGGCTGTGCAAGCCATTTACATCAATTCTTTTTTTTATGAATACACAAGCTTTTGCATTTATAAATACTGCCTTTCAATACTCTTTCTATTCGTTTCACATCTTCAGCATGTTTAAAAGGCATCAAGGCTTGCTCTCTTGACTAACTTGCAAAGAATGTTTATTTATTCGAAAAAATAAAAGCTGAATTTACTTTTTATGGGCAAAAAACAGTCTTTAGAAGCTGACACTTAGTTAAAGTGATCTCGCGAGTATAATTCTAATATTAAGCTGACTTTAGCATCTCAAAATTTTATTTACTTTAACTTAAGTTTGAGAGTCACAAGCATAAAAAATTAAATAAATTTAAAACTCACTTGCACTGTATATTAAATAAGAAAAGGATATGAGAAATAAATGAATAATCATTGATTTAAGTGTCACAAATTATTATAATATGTATTAAATAAATTATATTATATTATATATTATATATTTTATTTGATGAAAGCTCCCCAAATTAATATATATAAACCTTGCTCAAAACTATTTCAATTTTCATCAGGATTGTCTACTTCGTCAAGATTTTCACCTAGATTCTCTTTCAAAAGATCTCCAATTTTTAAATAAATTTTAAAATGTAAAATTGAAGCTAAACATTTTGAAGAACATATGAAAGAAAAGCTTCCTTCTGCATTGCGTTTGTCTAGTATTTTTTTTATAAGTCACGCCAAGAATCGGCCATCAATATCGGCTATAACAGGACAAATTGAGAAGCCACGCCTTGGCATATGGACAAGGCTTAAAATCTAGTATTTTAAATAAAAAATACAGATTAATTCTGTGAAGTAGATGCCCTGCACTACATTCTTCTAGAGGCGTCGGTGTGGGGATATTTTTTTTTGTTTTTTGCACAACTTTCACAAGAGCCACCGAAAGAAATGGAGATGGCGAATGAGACGGAGACTGTGTCCGACTACGGGCATATCGTGAAATACGGAAAAACCCTGCGAGCTGCTGGCCGCTTGGCCACTTGGATGCCTCACGCGATCGCCGTTAGGTTGTTTTGGTGCTTTTTATCGAAAATGGTTTTTAATGCGTTTTTAAGTCAAATTAGTGACTTCATCAGCTGGGCTTGTCTTTCTTCTGCTCAGCTGAATGCTCAGTCGGGGCAGCTGCCCGGTATCACTTAAGCTGCTCATTAATCAAAAGCCCTACGCCAATGTATCGGGACCATTCGCAAGACACGTAACTCATTGTAGGGCTGGCTCCCTACTCCCCCCCCCCCCCTCTCCACCTCCTCATCAACTGCCGCCGGCCAGGGCTTAGTTTCAATTACGAAATTGTTAATTAGAGGCTGGCTGGTTTGTCCGAGATGGCTTACTGACTCGCTGGCCTATTGCGTGGTCGTTGTCGCTGTCGTTGGCTAATGAAAACATCAACTTGTTGCTCTTGGCGTCTGTTGATGGTGTCCGATATATGCGCCGATTTACGGGCATTATAATTTTCGTCGGCACTAACGTTCGATACTGATCTATCGAACTTTTTCTCGTCTGTTGCGCCAACAACCAATTTTAAATGATTTTGTTTAACAAACTCCACGGAAAACTCTAGTAAAACCGCACATTAAACGCGTGCAAAACGCAAGCGTTTCGTTGCCTACGAAGTGTGCGCGGGTTATCTGTCTCTGGCTAGTCTTTTAGGTTGTGTTATGTGCTATGAACAGCTGGTCGTGACAAAAGCTGATTGCTATAGCGGGAATGGAGCTCAACTTGAATTCAATTTGATTGTTATATTAATGGGAAATATTTATTTTAAAAGTAAATTGACAGTAAATATTAATGATAAATTATTAATTGATATTAGATGCATTTATGTAGATTTAAAATAAAAAGAGCTAAATCAATTCAAAAGAAAACATTATCATCAGCTAGACTAAGAATAGATTTTGAACTTGCCTGAAGATGTCATTATACTTAATGTAAGTAAATGTGCCATGAAATTCTTACTATTATTTTTTAATTTATTATGAAAGAATTCAAAGTCTTTGCACTTAAGAGTCAGATGGAGAGACATGGTAACTGGTGTGGATAAAGATTAAAGATGGTAACTGGTATTTATAAAGATTAAGTTGTCTGTTTTTTAGCCCAGATGTCAATATTCTTCTGATTGGTAATTTGTATTCATTGCTGCCTAAGGCCGAAAAACTTTTCTTTTCACAGACACACAGAGAGAGGCGTATGCCTCATGTTAAATAAGCGATAAAAACCATATAAAAAGAAGCATATCCATATGCTTTAAATTTATGCATTATGAACTGTCACGTGCGCTAACTAAATGACCATAAATAATAAAGCCCAAGGAAATGAGCACAAAAACAAAAAAAAAAAGAAAAGAAAAAAGAAAACTCTTACCAACTGATAGCAGAGTGAAAAACAGCAAGGAGCGCAAAACAAAGTACCGCAAGTTGACAATGAATGAAAATGTTTGGAAAATTAAACGGAAAATAAAGAAAAAGTTAACTAGCAGACGGAAAGGCGAAAATTAACGCGCTCTATGGGCCTGTGTAGCTTTTGTTTTATCACTCGGCAAAGCGGCAACAATAACAACAGAATCAAAAGAGACAGACAGAGAGAGAGAGAGAGACAGAGAGAGAGATGGACGGACGGACGAGGAGAGCGCGCGCCAAAGAATGGAAGCGTGTTCGCAAGAGATATGCGAGCGAAAGAGAGAGGAACAGAGAGTGAGAACAGCGAAAAGAGCGAGTCGCGTGAAAAAGTTTTTCTATTGTGAAAAACTTGACGTGGTCGCCATTGCCAACGCCATCATCAGTTCTGTGTTCGGTGTTCAGTGGAGTAACGGCCACAGCTGAAAACGGACGTGTCGTGACGTGTTGTGTTCTGTCTCGCCTTGAGGGTACTCAAAATTCTCGACTCTTGCCCGAGTGTCTGTCCGTGTGCGCCCAAGGGCCGAAAACAAAACGAACGGTACACACAAAAAAAAAAAAAAAAGAAAAGAAAAGAAAATTTAAAAAATATAAATAAATAAAAATAGGTAAATACGAGCGTGGAAAATGTGTGTAAAAATATGCTAGCGCATTAATGTTAATGCATCGGCTGTTCTCACCTTGAAAACCGAACGCGTTGCGGTCTCCGATGCCGTTTCCGATGCGTGTAAGTGCAAAAGTAAAAGTGTCGCGACAAATTGTCGCAAAATCAAAATCATGCAAACAAAAAGTTTGAGCCAAGCAAATTCATGAAAAATGCTCGACAAATGCAAAAAAAAAAAATAAATAAAAGAAAAATATGAAAGAAAATATTAAGCTGAAAAGCGTCAAATAAATCAAGTGCGACCACAAGGCACTACAAACAAATTAAATAAGTCCCAAGCACACACACACACACACACAGCTGCAAAATGGCTGTGTCGCAAATTTCTAGTGACGCGTTCAAGAGTGCAGAAAAAAGGCGGCCAACACACAGCAGCCAAAGTCAATCCATTGATTTTTTGTACTCCACTAGAGATTGAGACGCGCGGCTTCAACATGCCTTCTGCCAGGCAAAAGGACACAGTTATACTGAAACGTGCTCCGTGTTGGTTGTCTAATCCAAAGTGGCGCATGGGGGCCCGCAATCAAATGTCCGCACATTAATAACAACTTTCATATGCCGATCTCATCCCCGGCCCACTGCACGGCCCCTTCCAGCAATTCCAGACGGCCACTTACAGCAGATAAATGGCACAAAAATCGAAAACTAGGCAAACAACACAACAAATTGCCAAACAGCAGCAGCAGCAGCCGCAGCAGCCGCAACACCCAACACACAGAAGCAGGTCCACAGGGCTGGGCTTATGAGTGACAACACGAGGAGTGGGCAAATGGGGGGAGTGGGTGGTCTACGTCGACGCTGGCGTCAATTTGGGGTAAAAAAAAAACACGGGGCAGACGCAGACGCGGCGTCGCAATAATCATAAAAGCGATGAACAGCAGTCAAATGAGGGGCGGTGGGGGAGGGGGCAGCGGGGCTGGGCCCACAAATTCATGCGCTATGCGTCAAACAAACTGGGCGCGGCGTTGCGAGTGTCGCTTCGTGCTGCGGTTGCTGCCACAACAAGCCGCAAGAACTCGAAAGTTATTATTAATGCAGCAGCAGTAATTAGCTAACAGTCAGGCAGTTGGCAATTAGCCGTTAGTAGCTGCGGCTAGGGCCAACTTGCAGTTGCATTAATTATTTGGCAGGCAAGCAGGCGCTTTAACTAAAGGCCGCATCGGCTGCCCAAAGGGCGGGCCAATTAGGCGCATAAACCGTTTACAGCATGACAGAGTTGTGACATAAATACACACATACACACACACACAGCACACACAGCACACACACACGTACACACAGGGAAGGAGACACGTTTTCACTTGACTAAGGTCAAAAGTTTCATCTTCCTCGCGCCTCGCCTCCCCGCAGCGTCCGTGTGCGTCTTCTGTCCATCAGCGCGGCCTGAACTTGATGCTGTCGCAGCTGCCGTCGCTGTCGCCGTCGCCGTCGCTGTCGGCGCTGTTGTCGCTGCTGGCGAGGCCTGTGGCATCTATTTTTAACGTTTTGTGCGCCCGCACAAATAGCATAAGCATGGCCAATAAATGATCAAAAAAAAAAAAAAGTATTTCAAAAGTGGAAAAAAAATTACATGTAGTTTCGAAAAACATTTTCCGCTGCGAATTGCGGCTGCAACAGAATGAAACTTTGCAATTGTCTGCGTGAATTAAGTGACTAAAATTTGGCAATCAAAGTTGGTATCAAAACTAAATTCGTTGGCAGTGAAAGTGTGCGTGTGCGTGTGTGTGTGTGCGTGTGTGTGCCAGGCAGCGACTGTGGCATGCAGACGTAGCAAAGAGCGCAGGACACGCACGGCATACAACACAGCACGCACAGAGAGAGAGAGAGAGAGAGAGAGAGGGAGAGAGAGTAGGGGCAGAGCGTCAATACGAGAGAGAGAGGCAGCGAGTAAGAGTGCGTGCCAGAGCGAAAGAGAGACTCGTAGAGACTTCCAGGCAACAACACGCTGAAATCCTTCCAAAATAACACATTCCGCATATGTGCCTCGGCTTTGCTGGTTCGTTCTCGTACAAAGGATTGTACGCAGGCATTGGAAGGAAAGCCTCTCGCTTCGGTTTTCCTTGCTTGCCTTTTTTTTCCTTTTTTTTTGTTTGTCGTTTTTCGGTTTTTCGCTTCTCGATGTGAAGTTTCGCCTTGGCTGGCTCAGTTCGTGGCTAAACTTTGGAGCGTGTTGTGCTGGAAATTTTGAAAAGCGGAAAGCACCAAGAACCGTAGCATGTAAATGCAAATGAAAACTTAATAATTAAACAATCTACACAAAAACAACAAAAAAAAAAACAAAAGAAAAGGGACATAAAACAAAATACAAAGCCAAGCAGAAGAACAGCTAAATTGAGAAATTGTGCAGCAAGTGTATTTAGAGAAAAAGTGTAATAAGTATTACGATAAAAACGACAACAACAAAGAGAAATAAATTATTGTGTGGAAATGAATGTGCTTTGAAAGTAAGGCGTGTGCCCCACCAACACACACACACACAGACAGTCACACACATGAACATGAACAGGAACAGGGTAGGCTAGCTTAATGTAGACAGATAGGCGAACAGCAGTGCAGACAAACGGACGACGCGAACGTGAAGACAAACAACGAAATAACCGAAAGCTGCGACTACTGTAAATTTCATAGAAACTCGTGGCCAGCACGGCGTATACGCATTATCATAAATGACAGCCGAATAAGTTTTTATTTGCCTCAGACTCCCCATGTTCGCCTTTGTTTCCTTTCCTTTATTTGCCCGTTTTTATATTTCGGCCGTTTTTAGACAACATTTTCTAGCAATAGTTATTGTTGTTGTTGTCGGTTTTTGTTGCTGCTGCTGCTGCTCTTGGGAAATTTTCAATGCAAATTGTGGTCGGTGTGTGCGTGTGTGTGTGTGTGCGTATGTAGTGCAATAATTGAGCCAATTTATATATATATATAAATGTATTTATATATGTGTATTTGTTGTCCCGTAGAGAGCGCGTGTGTCTGTGACAAATTGTGTGGCCATTTCAAGCGGAAAATGTAAGCTAAACAAAAAAATGCCTCTCAGTGCGTAGGCTCAAAAGCAAGCAAAGCGTAAAGCTCGCGACATTTTCAACTCTAAAACTCTCTCTGTTAATTCTGGCCTCTAAACCTTATACCTGCAATATATATACACACATATATAACTCTCGATATATATATATATATATATATATATACAACTGTGCGTGTACTTCTAGCCAGGTAAGTACAGCAGCTAACTGTTAGCAGCCTTTGACTTGCAAATTTTCAAATATTATTTAGCTCGTGCACGGGGCGTATGTGTAATGTGGCGTAAGGGAAGCACCTAGGAGTTGCTATGAAATTATGTTAATTCAATCGATATTTTGACTAATTTAGGCAGCTTTGCATATTACTTTGTTCTGCAATCGAGTGTCGTGTACGCCAATCCACCCACTTTATGAGTCAATTAGCGTAGTAATTTGACATGCTACTTTACGTACTTTACGAACTTCACTTTGCTGAACCCGGCTACCCCTTATGTCAGCTTGGTAGAATGGGAGTGTGCCAACCTATAAACCTTTTTTTTTTTGTGTTTTTGTTTGTCTGACGCTGTTTATCGATAACAATTACACAAGCCGAGCAGGCATATTTTGAACTTGTCAAACGGCATTAGCGACGTTCTGGTTTTGGCCATCCCAATGCCGCCCGTTGTCCGACTATTCTGTGCAGTTGGTACGTGCGCTCGATAAGCAATCAGCCGGTGCGAACTGAAGAGGCGGCTGCCATTACCCAGCGATAAGCAGGGAGTGTTGTCCAAATTTATGAGTCTTGACAATTTAAGTGCGGGCGAGGCCGTCAATGCCATCAAACTCAAAGTCGCAGCCAAAAAAATAAAACAAAGCTGCACAAGTGTAAACAAATGTGACAGGAGGAGTGCACAACGCCTCTTAATAGCTCGCCAATTTCATTGTCAGGTCAGATGGGGCGTGGCCGAAGGCGTCATAACCAATTTAAGCCATAAACCAAGAGCACACTGCACATTGAAAATAGATGAAAGCTCGAATTTACGAGCTACACGGGTGGCAGCATACACTCAGCTACACAGAAATGTTTTTAAATTGAGAAAAAGAATATGCAGTCAAATACATTTAAGCTGAAACAAGGTTTTACGGAAATATATTTCTTAACTAGTTTTTTAAAATACATATTAAAGTTCGCAATATCTGGGAAAAAACATTACTTTTCTGCTTTCTGTAGCATAGAGAAAGTTTTGCCTTTCGATTATAAACTAACTTTGAGATAGTTTATAAAGATAAAGATTTAATGTGTTCCTAATTAAACACAAATTTGGGCACTTTACGAGTAGATTAAATGCATAACAATGTATTTTGATATCATTGTTGTTGGACCAAACTCAGGATCGGTCGAAAAGTGGATTCTTATATGGCACAATATTATATTTTCCAAGATATTTTCATCAAACTCAGCATTTACGAGCTTCACTATTCTCACATATCTGCAAAAGGGAAATGTCTACAAGGGTATTAAATCTTCGGCGTGCCGAACATATCCTTAGTTTATCGGGTTTAAAACAGTTTAAGCCAGTTGATAAACGGCTCACTATTATTATTTTCGCGACTTTTCCCCGTAAACCTGAGCTCAAACTTCACTTCATCTTATTGTACTTTCTCTTATGTATTTGATTTAGGGCTTAGCCTGACCAGCTTCTAGTTGCCAGTCATATGTGACAGGTGCTTTTTCAAAACTCTGGCATAGTTAAGTAACGAGTCAATGTATAAAGTTGAGTCTATTTTTGCTACTCCACGAATATGCGGATATTTCTTAAGCGTCACGCCACATTAAGCAGCAAAACTTTCCCACTTTTGCCGTTGATGGTCGCGCCATTATCTTGACGGCTGCGATACACTAGTGTATATATGTATATTTGGTTGGCATTTCGAAGCGCTTATTTGGGCCATTAAAGTTGTTAGTTTGCAGCGAGGGGCGAGGGGTCTTAAGTTTATTCCACTTGTGCCAGGTCAATTGACAATTTGTGGCACACGAGAGGCTATCCTCAATTCAGTTTAGTTCTAGTTATCTATTTATGCATTAGCTTTCCCGGATGTCCTTTGCCTGATGACGCGCATACGTTGGCAACTTCTTCTGCTGCCTACTCCCCTCGTGCCCCCTCTTCCACCCCCTGAGACAACCCTTTGCCTTTTACACTTAGGCAAACTCAGCGAAGCGCACTTCCATTCATTTTTTTGAAAACATAATCAATAGTTGGCAATGCGCCGAGTGTGCATATGACAAACCGTGACAGCGCCCAGAACTACACGATATATGTTATATAGCCAACAACTATATGCGAGCTATATGGGTATCTAGCAGCCTGTCAGGGCTTACAGGCTTTTGAGTTATATCCGCATACACAATGTGCACTCGTTTCCGCATCTGAGTGCACTTTCAATGATTTGCAAAAAGTATTCTTCGCCCAGTTTGGCTGTGCTTACTTCTCGTTTCCAGCTGCTGTTGTATACTCTTTCGGTTGCGATTTTGGTGCCATTTTATGCCCATTTTTATACAAAGAAACAGCGTGAATTCATATGGCTTGCTGTTGAATGGGAAATTTTTATAATAAAATTTGATTGAGTGCAGAGTTGAACATATCTTTCATGGCTCTGCCAAGGAGTTCATCTGTATGCCAAACTGTTTCAACTGACCGAAGGCCCTACAAGTAAAGCAGTAACTTTCTTTTCCATTTGTTATTCGACTTCAAAACAAAACATAAACTGTATTAATAACTGGGTCAATCGAACAACAACTCATCTAGCGAAGACTCATGGCAGGCATTCGCTATCTGCAGCTTTCATAGTTGACAGCTCGTAGGCTTTTACCTCAAGGCTAACGTATCTGGAACTGTAGTCAGGATTGTATCTTTGCCAACGACTTCATACTGCTTATTTATTGTTGTCTTTCATGTTTTCCGTCTTTGAATTTGTTTTTATTTTATTTATTTATTTTTTTATGTACGATAAAAATCAATGGCAACGACTCCGTGCAATCGCCGAGCTGCGTTTCGTATTTCCCTGGTTTCTAGTTGAGTTTTTGGCACACATGCGACAGGGCTTTCGTTTCGCGTGGGAGTTCAATAGTCACCGTTGCCCTCCGCTTCACCTGCCCCGCTGTGTTCGCTCTCGACATGGGCCGCAAAGTGCTTTCTGCATTCGCAATTCTGCATTCTGCATACTGCATTCTGCAGGTGTACATGCCACAAACGGGCCCAAAAATATTGTTGTACGTGGGCGGAGCCGAAGAGCTGGCTTAAAGCGCGGACAGCACACAGTTTGCCGTGTGTGCGGGGCTGGCTGGCAGGCAGGCGGGCAGGTGGGCAGGCAGAAGCCGTCAAAACTTTCGTGCCGTGTGCCCCTTTAGCGCTTGTTTGTCGCCGGCAGGTCACGAAACGGCTGCCAAGAAAAGGCAGCGCGCCACAAATTTCTCTTTCAATTGGGCAATTGGAGCGGCAACCTGCCGCCCCGATATGCCACAGCGCTCCTTGCGTCTTGGGCATGTCCTGTCACAGACTGCCGGAGCCGCTGCTGTTGTCCTTGCCTCAGCCCCGCACGCCTGTCCTTTCCCCCCTTCCCTTCCGTCGTCAGTCAGGCTTATGTATTATTAATGCTCATGTTTTAAATTCACTCGCATACGCGCACTTTTATATCTTTGCTCGCATGAGGGTGAGATTTGAATGAATTGAGTGTCAATTGCTTACGCCTTGAATGCGAGCCGGCAACGCGTCGTATGCGCAATATAATTAATCTTGTGGCTCAAACGTGGCTCATTAACACAGAGTACGCGCAGCACCCCCGAAGATTAATTATTTGGCTATCTATTTTTATTTACGTCTCTGTCCAGGCCTTGTTTCAGTTCCCTTGATTTGGCCACTTTGACGGAAGCAGCTCGCTTATGCTAAATGACACACAAGATATTGTGTGGCAACAATGAAATCTACTTTCCACAAATAGCACTGCTTAGTCATGTGTGTGTGTGGTTCCGTAATTGCTGCACTTAAAGCACAAAACGCGTTGCAAAGTGCTTAAATGCATTTGCAGTTGAGAGGCTGCAACCACAAAGACTAGCTGGGCGGGGTCAGGCAAAAAGTTAAACATTAACCAGGGGCAGGGAAAGGTAGAGCTAAAGCTGAACATTTTCATTGTAAAGAGCGACGAATAAAATCGTGTAATAGGAAAAAAAAATGGGTATATTTTTAATTACAAAACAAGCAGAAATTTAATTCATTTTTCCATTGTTAAAAAGTGCCTAAAAATTAACGTGGATTGTGGCGGGACCCTATGTGAATCGAGAAGCTGATTAGAAATCTGTTTATGATCTAGCAAGAATGCTTTGATGGCGAGGATGTGAGTAACTGACTGTATAAACTCATGATTATCATAATTCATGCATATTTATAATTTATTTATAGCCTAAATTAGATGAATAAACTTTCCTTAATTAAGTTTTCATAATTTCCTCAACTCTCTGACAGCTAAAACAACAACATTTGTTATCTATTCGGATCGGGCTATTTATATTTTGCACTCAGTGTATATTTGTTGCAGTACATCTGTTTAGGTAACAATGCTCGTCTGATTTCAATCTGCTGTCAGCAGCAGCAGCAGCGACTCTGCCTTGCACCTTGCACCCCTGCTCCCCGCTTCCTGCTCCGTGCATGCTGGCTCCGCTTCTGGAACTGACAGTAATTGCCAGCAGCTGGGCGGGCTTTAGAGGAGCAGCGTAACCGTCAAGGCTGCTGCAGCCACCATTAGCGTCATCAGCATTAGGTATAATAATGATAATGTAACTTCATAATGACGACAGTGATAATTTCAATTAACTAAGCAACTCTGTGGCAAGCAGCTGTCAATTCAACTCTCAACTCGCGCAGCTCTCAATACTCAACTCTCAGTCAGCATCTCGCATCTCTCATAACAGGCTGGCATAATTCTTTTTTAATGGCGTTGAAATTCAATTAAGGAAAACCCTTCTTGTCATTGCTGCAAATTATGTGAAAAGTCTGTTGAAGCGTACCATGCTGGGCGTCGGAAAGGGCGTGGGCTCCGGCGTGGGCGTGGCTGATGGGTGTATGCGTATGTTTGTGATATCTTAATAAAGTTAAAAGCGCTGGCGCTTTTGTTGAACTTGTTACTGTCAGCTGCACACAAGCATAAAACGGCACACAA